CTCATTCATTATGACTAATTCTAGGACCAGAGGCTTTATGGGGCAGGAGAACTAAAATGAAGAGCTGCCTGTCAGTCCTGCAGGAATTCAGACACTACCAGGTTCAGTATCTTGTGCTTCTGTCAGAAGGAATAAGGTACCTTTAGCTCAGTGGACTGAAAGCCACAGCAGGAAATCATGAACTGAGTACATTCAATTCACGTACTCCAGGCTCTGTCCCAGGAGTCTGCATGCAGTGATTTACTTACTTTTTCTCAGCCAGTTAGAAATACCAACTTTTCTTGAGTCCTGAATTAACTGGTATCATATTAAAGAGTAAGCATCAGTTTTAAAACTAAGAAGTTAAACCACAGGACTTGGTCACGGCGCAGCTACTGAACAAGCTGTGTGACTTCAATAACTAATGCTTTTTGAGCTCTGCTTTCTCATTTTCAAATGGATATGGCATACGCAATGCTCCCCACAGACTGCCTCAGACTGGTGTGGGGAGAAACAGGGCAGTGTGCACCCACCATCTGTAAGATGTTTCTAGGAGTGGATCTTTGCTATGTGAAAAAAAAAAGTTATAAAACAACAGTTGTTCGACATAATAACCATAAAAATGCCACCTCAGGAAAACATTCATAGAACTTAGAATTCCATGTAATTATTTTTACCTCCTTTGTTAGGTTATATACCAAGCTGTACATAAGCGGAGTACAATCAACTCTCAGAGTGTAGTTTCCTGAAAGACAAGGAGAAGATTGTTTTCTATTTCATTACTTTATTTTATTCTTCCATTCAAAGACCAATCCTAGCTCCTTAGCCAGAATGACCCTTTTAAAATCTGACTAGGGACTCGCGCGGCCGTCCAATGGTTAGGACACTGCATTTCTGCCGCAGGAGGCACGGATTTGATCTCAGACCAGAAACTAAGATCCCACGAACCCTGAGGTGCAGCCAAAAATAAATAAATAGAATTCAAATCCGGTCAGAACTTTCCCGTTCATCCCTGGATAAAATTCATCCTCACCTTGACCCCTGGTGCAATACATGAAACAATCTTCAATCACCTCTCACCTTTCCAAAACCTTACCTTCTACTCTGCCAAAGCAAATGTTCTATACACGGAGATGATAAAAGTACTTCCCTCTCAGGATTACTGTGTCAAATAAACACTTATATTTAAAGCGTTAATTTAAAACATTTAAAGTAAATGTTTATATTTAACAGCATTTGCTGTTGTTGGCACTTTGAGCTAAATTTTATATATGAATGTCAACATGATAGAAACACCCCAAACTGAGAATAGTAGTGTCTTTGAAGAGAGAGTTATTTCAGAATGGTTTCAGTAGAAATTTTTTCTTCGTAAATTCTGCATCTTAACATTAGAAAGCCAATACATGATTTACTATATTATTTGAGATAGGAACAGTTAATAGTTTTAAATACATAACAAAGTGAGAAAAGCTGTGTTCCAATCACAGACTAATGGGGGTGTTATTTGCTTTTGATCCTAAAAGGGATCAGGAGACAACAAAAGAGCATTAACTCAGAATGAGTTAATCCAGCAAAATCCACAGATTAAAAAAATGCATTAAAATCTTAAAAAAAACAGCAATAGAATGTTATTCTACTTTTGAAGAATATGTTTGGAAAACTTATTCTGTGTGACAAGGTATTTCATCTTCCTAAGTGTTTAAACAAGGATGATAATAATTCAAGTTAACATTTCTGAACATTAACCCTGTGCAAGGGACAACTCAGGGAGTTTTGTAATTATTAACTTCTTCTGCCCTTACAAGAACCTTTGAGATATATGATCTTAGTAACTCTATTGTGAGCTGAGAAAATTGATACACAGAGAGCAACAACCTGAGGTCACATAATTAGGAAGTAGCAGGGCCAGATATAAGCCCAACCCATGAGCCACTAACTAAGTCAGAGGAAGGACGGGAAGACAACCAAAATGCACTAACTTAGGAGACAAGGAAGCTCAGATACATGGACAAAGAAGAAAATGTAATTGTCAATGTGCCTCCATCATATGCAATGTCCCGACTATTTTTGACATGGCAGACTTACTAATAAACTAAATAAAATATTCTATAGTCCACCCTTCATTCATTTATACATTCATTTGTTGCACCCATGCAAATGACATTTATTTAATGAGACATTAAGAATCCAGGGATGAAGAAGTATGATCCCACCTGTTCCTGGTATTAGAATATAGTCTAGAAAGGGAGGCAGTTTGTAAAACAAATAATTACTTAATAATGGCAGTGATGAGTATTATAAAGATATAGTTTCCTGGGGAAAAAAATGGCATTCCTAAGGAGACTCTAAGAATGAAACAGATGGTGTGTTGAACAGCAATCTGAGTATAGAGAACANCTTGGGCTTCCCTGGTGACTCAGATGGTAAAGAATCTGACTGCAGTGCAGGAGACTTGGGTTCGATCCCTGGGTTGGAAAGATCCCCTGCATGAGGGCATGGCAAACCACTCCAGTATTCTTACCTGGAGAATCCCCACAGACAAAGGAGCCTGGTGGGTTGCAGTCCATGGAGTCACAAAGAGTGTGACATGACTCAGCGACTAAGCGCAGCATAGCACATACTAAATCTTAAACTCTCGAGTATTAGATTGTTCTTTTTCAACCCCTAATGCTTTTGAAACCTTGGAAAGTTCATTGCATAGAGAGGTGCTTAATAAGTGTTTAAATTGAAGGGAAAAAATTTAGAAGAAAAAAGTCTTGGTGAAAGATGAAATCTTGGAAGCCACTACCTGTCCTCAAAATCTGTATGCATGATATGATAATGATAGGAGTTAAACATAAATCATAGCTTTTTGATACCTCACTCTAAAATTATAGAAATCTCTAGTTCCATGACTGATTTATTCATTTAACAGACAGTCACTGAATTCCTACCACAGATACGGTAATACGCCAGATGAAACAAATCAAAGGGTGCTGTTTCAATAGAGTCCAAAGTAGCATCCTCGAGCTCACCGCTGCCCTGAGCACGGCAAACCCGCAGAAGATTCCCTCACCACCTGTCACCAGATTTCTATTCTCTGTCAGCGCGTGATTTATGAACTAAACTGCTGCACTACCAAGATCATATATATTTTCCTATGAAACTGATGATATTCACCTTCCAGAGAAGAATCAGCATTGATATAGGCCACACCACGCTCCTGAAGGAGTCTGGAATTTTCCTATAATAAATAAATAAAGTAAATGAATAAATAAACATATAGTCATAACTCCCTTCTTTAAAAAAAAAGAAAAAAAAAATTAACGGTTGGGTTGGGAATGAAGTTGGCCCAAGTTCACCCCAAGTTTGACATATACGACTTTCAAGATTTTCAATGTTTGAAAGAATTTGGCAAGAAATAACAAGCAAAACATTTTTAAGACTAAAATTTGAGATGAAACTGTCCACATTCTTAATATGGTTAGCAGACAAGTTGATTTCTTAATCACACATAATCCTGGAAGCTAAGTTTTCCTGTGTTATGGTACCACCTACTGGTCAAAACCTTAAAATTTTGTTTTCAATTTTAAAACACTGCCAAAGACTAGCAAGATTATTTTTGCTAGAAGTGGACTCTGAATCTCCAAAACAAGCAATTTTCTGTGTCTTTTTATTTATCTGTGTCATTTTATTTATAAAAAATAAAGTGAAAAAACATGAAAGTAAGTGAAGAAAATAATATTAAAGAGTCGAATCAAAATATTTCAGCTCTTCTTGACACCAGCATAAATCTTCATTTACAGGAACACCATTTTTTTTCTTGGTAAACTTCAAAGAAAATGTAAGCACATGGCTTCTCATAATTTCAAGATAATAGGAGATAAGTAAATATTTATATCATGACTATAAGTTAATGTAATAAATGTTATTTTTGCATATATTTACCTTACCAGCAATGCTTCTATTACCCACAGCCAACAATGCATGCAGGTAAAATTACTTTGCAAGAAGCCTCGTAAATATTCTGTGGTGAGATTTTCCATCTCACTCTTAGCATGATTTAAAGCAGGCCATTATGATATGAGGAAGACAGTACAAGCTGACAAGATTTTTGAACATGAATATGTTGTTTCAGACTTTTGAAAAAAGTGTTTGAATATTTTCTTGCTGGATTGACATTATTCTTACATTCTTGTGAATTAAATATTATCTGTTTTATTACTATGAAAATCTATCTTACATCAAATTATAAACTAACCTCTGCCCACTCAGTGGAACCAAAAAGACCAAATTCTTCTGCATCCCAGCTCGCAAACAGAATTGTTCTTCGAGGCCTCCATCCTGAAATACATGTGCATACCTAAGATGGTGACTGCAGCCATGAAATTAAAAGACGCTTGCTCCTTGGAAGAAAAGTTATGACCATTCTAGACAGCATATTAAAAAGCAGAGACATTACTTTGCCNGCTCTGTGACAACCTAGAGGGATGGGATGGATGGGAGGTCGGAGGGAGGCTCAAGAGGGAGAGGATGTATGTATACAAATGGGTGATTCATGCTGATGTATGGCAGAAACCAAAGCAATATTGTGATTATGTTTCAATTAAAAATAAATAAATTTAAATAAATAATTTTTTAAAAATATTCTATGAATTCATAAAACATTCTAATAGGTTTACAATGACTGGCTAAGAATAGGAAGCCATCTGTGGTCTGCAGCTGCCTGGAGTGAAAGAAAGTGCTAGATGTAGACTATGCTCTTACAGCCAATAGAACTGAGAGAAAATCCTTTACAGTTCTCCCAAGCTGCACTGGCATCACACAAACAATGGTTCAGTATCAGTTGGTTATATGACTTCATGCCATTCTTTGCCAGAATTAGTCAACAGAAGCTCCATTTGCAACGACAGGGTCTGCTGCTGCTGAAAAGTACACCATTCAGTAGCAAGGTCATGTGGCTTAGAGTTATAAACACCGACCCTGGAGTTAAAGATATCTTAATTCAAGCCCTGGTTCTTCCCCTTACTAGCAGTATGACCAAGGGAATGTTACTCAAACTTGCTAAATCCCTGTTTCAGCATCTGTATACCAGGAAGAGCAGAGCAAAGATAAAGATATTCGTTGACTGTTGGGAGGATTAAATGGCATAACAGTTATAAAGACAGCACTGAACAAGTGCTCCAAACAGTAGAAGTTCTCCTTGTTTGAGTACATATTTCATTTGTGCTTATTAAGACTGACTACCCCTCTGGTTATTGAGTCAAGTGCTTCATTTTTGTTAAGTGTATTAATAGTTATTACTCAAATCCCCGATTAATTATTATTCCTCATCACTGCAGTCTGTAGGCATATTTTGTAACTGTCATAGTCATGTTTTATATTTACCACAGGGATCCTTCTTGAAAAATAATTAAACTTTTCATAATAATAATAAATACAACCTAATTTACAAACTATGTAAATTCTAGTTTCCATAATTCTGTTTTCTTAAAGAATAAGAAAACTGTATGGTAAAAAGAATAGAGCAGCCTTAGATTTAATTTCAAAGACAGATGTCGCAGTTTTTTGGACTGGGAGCCAGAAATTTGAATTTCAATCCCAGACACACATCCGCTACACAACCTTGGGTGAATTATTGAACCCTAAACACTTCAGTTAATGTATTTTTGCTTTTTCTTTGTTTTTGGCCACACTTTACAGCATGTGGGATCTTTCCAACCAGGAATCAAATCTGTACCCCCTGTACTGGAAGCATGGAGTCTTAATCACTAGAATGCCAGGGAAGTCCATCAGTCAATACATTTGTAAATAGAAATAACTAGGTAAACATCTCCCTGGTGCTATGAGTTCAAAACAGATAGCATATATAATAACATTGTTTCTCTGAGAAAGTAGGTATCATGCAAACATATTTTTACTAAACATATATTTACTATTTTCATTGTTACTAAAAAAAAAAAGAAGGAAAATTACGATCACATTTCCAGCCCAGACACCTTGTTTGCAGCAGCAGTAAACAAAGTAGACCTTCTCTTCTCAGTGTGCAATGTTCATTTTAAAAAACAACCATTTGAACTGAATTTTATTTTGGTTTCATAAAAAGGTTCTAAAATGATGGAAGTAATGGTCAGTCTAACAGTATAGTAAAATCTGAGAGTCCATGGGAGAAACCAAAGCTGGATTGTGAGAATGCAGATATGAAACTTTTGACAGCATCCTATTAAGCAAGAAGACTAGCATTTTTCTGACTAAGCTTTCACCTTCTCAATCACTTAGAGCCCTTGACCTGAGACCTGAGGCTTGGAAGAGCCCAAGGAACTCCTGTTCACATTTCTCAGACCAGGACACAATGGCTTATAACCTAATTCTGGTGTCTATTCTGCAGGGAAGAAACCCATTTCCATCTTCTTTGCTGCCAAAAGAAACCATGAACAGTATAATTCCTTTATTTCAGATTATAATTTCACATCTATATATAAATAATGTGAATATTACACATAAATGAATTATTACAAATAAATATATAAAGGCCTAAACAACATTATTAATCAACATAAGGTGGCACAGTTGGTAAAGAATCCACCTCTAATGCAGGGGATGCAGGTTCGATCCCTGGGTTGGGAAAATCCCTGGGAGGAGGATGTGGCAACCCACTCCAGTATTCTTGCCTGGAGAAGCCCAAAGACAGAGAAGCCTGGTGGGCTACAGTCCATGGGGTTGCAAAGAGTCAGACACGACTGAGCAACTGAGCACAAGTAATACAGCTGCTAATTACTGAGAGCTACTCTCAGCTCCTAACCACTATGACATAGTGTATGCTACTACTATGATTTAATTTGCATGCAGCCTCTCTGCTGTTGCACACAAACCACTGAGGTGGTGATTTTACACTCACTTTACTGAGGACCAAACTGAGATACAGAAAAAATGGTCTTTTTACTCTTTGCTTACATTACCTTCTTTTTTCAGCTTTCCAAAACTCCTGACAATTTCATGAACAACAGCTGCTCCACTCTGAGGGTCAATGCCACCAAACACCCATGAGTCACGGTGACCTCCAAGAATAACATATCTGTCTAGAAAGCATCATTGCAAAATTACTTACCAATCCAGATCAAGAACAGAGCAAACTGCAAATGACTCAACAGCATCTAAACACAAGGCACTAAGAACTCAAGATAGCAACATTCCTAAAGACTTACATAAATATATCACTATTCTGCATGTGATGTATGAAGAAAATATACATGCAATAGGCAAATGTAAATACTTCAATTAATTATAGTAATTATAACTATGTAAGTAATGATAAATGAATATAAAAGTATCCTTTTCCACCTCTTCATATAACTTTCTGTTATTCCTCTTTTACCAATTTAGATGGTTTCCAGTATTTTCAGACTAAAAGAATAGAGTGGCCATATAATGAGTTTTCCACTTTCTACTCTTTCTACTTGGTTTTTAAAGTACAGCTCAAAGATTCTACCTCTCTATAATCTGCTCCCATTTCTACAGGGAGAGGGAATCACACCCCTACCCTACTTTCAGGGCAGTCTTTTCATGCTGATAAAGCATTTACCACACTTAAATGTAGGGGGCTCCTTTTCCCCAGTCTGGGTCGTTTATAAAAATCCCTCCATCCCCAAAGCCTAGCACAGAGCTGGCACAAAACATGTACTCAGTGAGGTTCAATAAATAGTTAGTTGCATATCACTTAGTGCTCACTGAAAGGCATATCAATATTCTTTATCCCTGAAAGAAAATACTGGCTGCTTGTATGAAAGATATGCAGTTTAATTCTATTTTGGTTACAAATTTATAGGTCTTAAGGAATCAAAACATAATAAAGTAAGATTATTTTCAAATGTATCACTGAGCAGGTTATCTGAAATCATATGAAAATCACATGTCTATGTATTTTACCAATTTCAGTGTAACAAAAATAAATCCATGTACGGGATTCATTAACTTGAAGTTATCTTAACTTTGTAAGAGTTATTTATCATTATTATGAAGATATTTCTCCATGCAAAATATGCAGTAAAGAAATCTGGAATTCTTTAAAGAGAAAAAATGCTCATATTAAACACCTAGAAACCATCCCTCCCTGCTCCTCCTCCCTTGTTCCTTTAATTGAAGCATGCATAGTTTTTCACCAAGCTTGCTCATCTGACCAATCTCATCCCAACCTTTATTCACAACATGCATCACAACGCAAAACTGCCTCCTATGGATCTGTTTTGTGTTTACATGAGTACCATTAGGAGTAAGAGTTGCCTCGCTTTGTTCTCTCTACATTCCCAGAGCTCAGAGCAGTATCTATCACCAAAGCATTGCCCAATCCACATGCGCTGAACAGATGACTAAGTTACCTGGCTCCACGGCCCCTCTGAGAGTTCCAATCACGTTGTAAATTCTCTCCACTTTATTGCTGGAGTGGATATGCATCTTGACTTTTCTAACACAAAAATAGAGGACAGGCTAACAATACTGGTTAACAGCTTGCCACCCACATTTTTTAAATCTTCCATTGTTTTGAATATTTCTAAATGCACATAAGCAAGAATTACATTGGCCAATTGTCCAATTGTGAAGATATAAGTGTCATTACTTTGCCAACAAAGTCCATATAGTCAAAGCTACAGTTTTCCCAGTACTCATGTATGGTTTTAAGAGTTGGACCATAAAGAAGGCTAAGCGGCATAGAATTAATGCTTTTAAACTGTGGTGCTGGAGAAGACTCTTGAAAGTCCCTCGGACAGCAAGGAGATCAAGCCAGTCAATCCTAAAGGAAATCAACTCTGAATACTCATTGGAAGGTAAAGCTGAAGCTCCAGTACTTTGGCTACCTGATGGGAAGAGCCCACTTATTGGAAAAGACCCTGATGCTGGGAAAGACTGAGGGCAGGAGGAGAAGAGGGCGACAGAGGATGAGATGGTTGGACGGCATCATCAACTCAATGGACATGCATTTGAGCAAACTCCAGGAGATAGGTAAGGACAGGGAAGCCTGGTGTACTGTAGTCCATGGGGTTACAAAGAGTTAGACAGGAGTGAGCAACTGAACAACAACAAAGTTGACTTTTACATCAGACATGAATTTGGATCCCAAATCTATTACATAGTCTCTGAACTTTGATTTCTTTATTTGTAAAATAAGCTATCATGATATTAACTCATCTGGTTGTTTTATGAGTAAATTGATAAAAAATATGTAAAGCATTTAGCACAGAGTAAGTGCTAGAAACTAATTAGTACGTTATGTATGTTAATGCTATTGTCATTGTCTTTATTATGATTGTTGCTGCTGTCATTATAATCCTGGTATTTACTCAGGGAGGCAAATAGAAGCCATATAATCACATTCACTTTAGTATAAAAGAGCAAAAAGAATATGAACATCCCACTCAGGTAAATTAAAATTTTACTATAACTCAAATTTCATCAACTTTTTATAAAGTTCTCAGCATTCCTGGGCCATTATATAATGTTCTGTGTCTTTTCTTCTTAAAAATTTATTAAGAAACTTTCATTTTATGATATATCTAATTTATAAAATACTATCTTTTCTAATTAATATATAGTATTACATTGCTAACCATTTGTGGGAATATGAAAATTGACCATCAGGGACAAGTATCACATTCCTTAATTATGCAGAGGGAGTAAATTTTCACAGTGAAATTCACAAGCTATATGTTCTTAAATTTATAATAAGATGAAATTCTAATCATGTATAGTGTTTCATTATACCTTACAAAGTATAAAATAAAGTGTTAGTCGCTCAGTTGTGTCTGACTCAGATTTTTTACTGTCCACCAGGGAAGCCCTTACAAAGTATGGATACGGATGGAGAAATGCAAACTATCTTATTGCTTTCGTATATGCAGATCATTGCCTCCTTCCAAAAATTATGTTGTACTTTCCAAAATTCACTTTTAATCACTGTGTCTTGAATGCAAAATATATTTCCATAGAAGTTATGCTATTAATGACTGCATTTACAAAATGACTTACTAAAGCTGACTTAAACACATTTGGTAATTTTTTTCATCAAGTAATTCCTGTAGTAACAGTTATAGCACAGCCAAATTTGACTAGTTTACCCTAGTCAAATGGTAGACAGTAGATTAAACAAACCTCACGTCTAATTCCATAAAATCTTCTAACTGCATTCTTCTTCTAACTACAAAGATAACACAGGTTTACTTTTATACAGCATTAGGATTATGGACTTCCCTCATAGCTCAGTCAGTAAAGAATCTGCCTGCAATGCAGGAGACCCAGGTTTCATTCCTGGGTCAGGAAGATCCCCTGGAGTAGGGAAAGGCTACCCACTCCAGTCTTCTTGCTTGGAGAATCCCATGGACAGAGGAGCTTGACAGGTTACAGTCCACAGAGTCACAAAAGAGTTGGACACGACATCACCACTAAACCACCACCATACATATTTTTGAAACTGTTTTTCCCATTCAATACTATATTATAAGTATATATCCACATCATTAAATACTCTTGTACAATATACATTTTAATAGCTTCATGACTACCATAGTAATGTATTTAACTACTTATCAATGATTGAAGTTCTGTATTGTTTACAGTTTTCCACTATTACAAGTAATGCTATAATCACACTCATCTTTTAAATGTAATGAATGTTTAGACTCTGTATTTAGACAAACACATAGTCCATGGTGCACTCAAAAGTTGTGCTCCATCCTGAGTCTTAACCCACATGGCAAAGCCAAGAGCTCAAAAGAAAAACAGACCAGGGTGCTGTTCCTAAATCTGCCCTTCAGTGGAACGTGCATGAGTGCATGCCAAGTCACTTCAGTGATATGCAACTCCTCACAACCCTATGGGCTGTAGCCCACCAGGCTCCTCTGTCCATGAGATTCTCCAGGCAAGAATACTGGAGTGGGTTGCCATGCCCTCCTCCAGGGGATCTTCACACCTAGGGATCGAACCCAAGTCTCTTATGTCTCCTGCTTTGGCAGGTGAGTTCTTTACCACTACTGCTACCTGGGAAACCTCGTTAAATTGGACAAATTCCTCCAGCTGTCTGATGACAGCCTCCTTACCTGTCATGAGGGCACTGCACGAGGTCATGAAAAGTTTTCTCATCCACTCTAAAATACAGTTATTAAGACTGCCTTGAATTCAAAGAAAAGAAACTAGCCAAATGCTTTGGTCTCTAGTGATAAACCACTAGAGAAGTCAGTGATAACTGCCTGAACCCTGCTCAAGAGTAATGGAGAAGAAAGGACAGGAAGATGGTAGAAAGCAGGACAGGAAAGAGGGAAGAGTTCCAACATCAGGTTAAACAACAATTTTGGAGAAGCTTCAATGATGAAAGCAGAGGAGGAAGAGGAATGAATTAAGATGATAATCAACGGAAGACGCTTTCAAAGGGTGTTATTCTAGGTCCGTGAATAAGTAGTCAACAAGAGAATTCAATAAGTAAGACATTTATCAGGAGAAAGGCCAGTGAAAGAAATAACAAGGGAGCTAGCAAAGGCCAAGAAAGCCAGATATGGAGTAAAAGAGAGAAAAGTGTTGGTGGCAAAAGCCTTGCTCTCAGCCTTTCTAACCCTTGCATCAGAGGAGTCCCATGTCTCCCAGTAATGGGCCTCATTTAATATCCTTGCTGCATCTAGTTCCTGACTGGGAGCATGTGATGGAAGCATGGCCTTGACACAAATAGGGTGACTGTTTTAGCACAATGCTTCAGCACAGTGGAGCAGACTTCCCTGCTGGTCCAGTGGTTAAGAATCCTCCTACCAATGCAGGGGACATGGGTTTGATTTTTTTGATCCCAAAAGATTCCACGTGCTGCAGAGCAACTAAGCCCATGAGCCACAGCTACTGATCCTCACTCTAGAGCCTGTGCTATTCAACAGGAGAAGCCCCCACAATGAGAAGCCCATGAACTGCAATGAAGAGTAGTCCCCACTCGCAGCAAGTAGAGAAAGCCTATGTGCAGCAACAAAGACCCAGCGCAGCCAAAAACTCCTTTTAAAAAACACAGTGGAGGGGCGGTCCCAAGACAGCGGAATAGGACGGAGAGACCACTTTCTCCCCCACAAATTCATCGAAAGATCATTTAAATGCTGAGTAACTTCCACAAAACAACTTCTGAACACTGGTGGAGGACACCAGGTACCCAGAAAGGCAACACATTCTCTTCGAAAGGAGGTAGGACAAAATATAAAAGACAGAAAGAGAGACAAAAGAGTTAGGGACAGAGACCCATCCTGGGGAGGGAGTTGTGAAGGAGAAGTTTGGACATAGTACGAAACCCTCTCACAGGCGGTTCTGTGGGGAGTTTTGGAATCTCAGAGAACACAACCGGGAGGGGGAAAAAAAAAACAACCACAGACTAAGCACCTAACCACAACTGTCAGTGGAGAAGTAGCACAGATGCTTGCATCTGCCAGCAGCGAGCAGGGGCCAAACAGGGAGGTGTGGGCTGCATGCTTCGGATAAGGACCAGGCCTGAATGCTCTGAGGGCAATCTGAGGGCGCTAACGTGAGATAGCAACCCAAACTGTGGGATCGCTAGGAAGAAAAAAAAAAAATAGAACTTTCCTGCAAAAGCCTGGCCTGCTCACAGAACAAAGGACTGAGCTTATACCAAAGGAGAGCTGGCTGGCTGCGCACAGGCCCGTCCCCCCACCGGAGGCAGGGAGGCAGGCAGGCAACAGCCAGAGCCAGAAGGCGAGAGGCTGCTGCAATCTCAGCCCCAGAGACTGCATCCTCCACCAAACTGTGAGCAGTCTCCCAGTTGCTAACCACGTCTTCCTGGGATCCTGAATGGTTGACATCTGCCAGGAGGGTCACATCCTGAGATCAGCTCCCCAGGGGAGACACACGGCACACCTGAGACAGTGCTCCTGCAGTGCACCCGGGAAACAGAGCAGCCAGGAGCAGGAAGGTGACTAAGATGCATCGCGGTGCACCCGGGAAACTGAGTACCCGGGACCAGGGAGGTGATTAAGACACACGGCCCGCCTGGGACAGTGTACTCACCAAGCACCTGGTTGCCTGGACTGGTCAGACCTGGGAAGGGCACAAAATGCACGCCCAACCACGTCTGTGCCCTTGAGGAGCACCCGAGAACCTGAACCTGAGCGGCTTAGACCTGAGAAGTGCATGAAACGTAGGGCCCACTTTGGACAGTGCCCTTGCAGAGCACCCTGGAGCCAGAGCAGTGTAGACCCGGAAAGCACACGCTGCCTTGAGCTGGGGCAAAGCCAGTGTGGTCCACACACTGCGAGCACTCCCCACACATGCCAGTGATATTTGTTTGCAGTGTCCTCCCTCCCCACAGCTCAACCGAACAAGTGAGCCTGAATAAGTGACCACCTTCACCCCCTTGTGTCAGGGGGGAAATTAGACACCAACAGAGGAAGTCAAAATAAACAAAGAAGAGGGAATCGCTCTGAAAGTGACAGGTGCAACAGATTAAAACCCTGTAGTTAAC